TTGATTAAACAACATAATAAAACATTTAGTGCAGATGATCACAGTAGATCAAACTATATTATCAATAAAAGTTAAAATATGGACATGAATGATAAGAAACCTGATCTGCATTTAAATTAAACAAGTCTGATAAAACAAAAAAATCATATTAAATATACAAATGAACTGTTCATTGATACCTAACAAATAATATACTATACCAAACAGCATCTGTACATTTTAGATGGTGTTTACATAGTAGCTATTAAATATTGGCAATGAGTAATGGTCTAAAGCGTGTTTGTAGGTACATATTCCTTTGTCAGGCTCAGTGAAGTTATGGTAATTGGCGATTGGAGACACTAAGTCAGATAACTTCGATTCTGTCAAAACGGCCTAGTTGCATATGTTCTTTCTTTTGCCTTATATCCTATTTCTCAAATAGTTTCATAAATTTTATTCTTTGAATTCACTCTTTCTTCAAAAACTATCTCCATGGTTTTTACTGCCACTGATACTACTACTTCAATAATGCAAATGGAATTTCAGTGAGTGAAAAAAAATTAGTCGATAACTCTCGCGTTTTTCTTAATGAATATTAATTCGTTTCTAAACTTTCAAATTTACTGTGGAATATGAATACAAATTTGTTGACTATTGATTACTAGTTTTACATAGTTTCTATGTATGTTATAAAATAATAATTCTAGTCAGTTACCTGACTTTTGGTTCATTTGGCAGTTTCAGTAGAAGCACAGTGGTAATAACATTTCAGACTGTGTCTTTGAAAGATATAAAGATAATTCATGCAGCAAGAATTACTAATGTTCTTTTAGACAACCACAGTAATCCAAGTGAATCAAACCATTAGATTTTCTTTAATAATTTCAAAAAAAATATTGTAATATTTATTTAGCTTGTCTTTCATATTGCACAAATCACTTGGCTAACAGGAATAATTAGAAAAAATTGGATAATATTTGGTGAATAACCTATACAAAACAATACGTTTGCACTTTTCATAAACACTAATTACAAAAATTTCAATAATACAAGCATGCTATAATAAATATATTTTTTGTTATATCCCAATGAGTAGAAAATTGTATTGTAAGAAGTGGCTTACTCTCAGTCATGAAACGTCGGAAATACAATTTTTACTCATTGGGATATAACAGAAAATATGCTTATTAATAGCTTTCTATCCAACACTCAATTTATTTTAAACTACTAAGTGCAACCTTAGTATTGATACTTACTAGCAAGCTATAAATCAGTCCAAGCTAGTCGACTTGGGAAATGTTAATTCATAACTTTAAAGCTGCCAGATAAGTATTTGGTGAAACGTTTAAAATTATAGTCTATTAATAAGAACAGTTTTAATGGGCATGGTTTTCGTTTTCTTTGTCATTTCGATGACCGAACATATTCAGAATATTTTTAAACATTTTGATCAAGTTTCGATAGTGTAATAAGAAGACGGAGATTATCAGAACTATGTGATCAAGATCACTGAGGTAAAAAGAAAACGACAGAAATCATATATGTATGCATAAGAATTGTTTTATATAATAACTTATTTCATACCGTATTAGAAACTTAGTTAAATTGGAAATATAAAGATTAAAATGTAGAATTAAGTAGGTTAATTATGTTACTGGCAATAAAAATGCAAAAACACTATTTCAGATGTTAAGCGAACCAACTTACCACACAAATTTATGATTGTAAGGGGATATAATTTTGAAAGGACCCTCAAAAAAGAATTGCGAATCAAGTATGAAGTTAACTTTTATTCAGCGATATGAAATATCGCTATAAAAAAGAATGCAAAATTTGCACAGCACTTCGGTTGCAATGATTATAGTTTTTTCCACTATTATTTCTAGCCATTAACCTGTTACTTCATAATAATGTTGAAGCAATACCTGGATTTTTTCGGTTTGTCTTTAATAGACTAGACACGTACTTGAATTTATGGTAGGTCGTCATATTTCTTATTATTATTTGGGTCTTGCTGATGAAGGCGAAACCAACAAAAGACCTAGATTAAAAGCTATTTTTCCAATTGTGCCGATAAGCCATCATTGTGAACCAAAAAGTCGAATTTCTTACGTAGGTGACTCATTCGTAAAAGTACTCATGATTCCTAACTCTATTTAATTTTGTGTTATATATTATCGACAAAAATAAAGTTTGCCCAACTATAAATCGAAAACTAATTTTCTGTCAACTGATGTGCAATCAGTGGGAATCCTAAGGAAGAAAATAACATCTAGCCATTTTATATCGATGTAAGTCGATTAATAGACAGTATCAATCCTAGTAGAACATTTTCTCATAATAATAATAAGAAGAAAAAACATCTACGGAAAACAAATTAAGGGCTTTCTGTGAATCACCCTATTGATTATAACGTGATTTTCACAAACTTCGATTTCATATGTATAGATCTCTTCATATGTACCTTGATATGCCTATATATGACAGTGTAAATGTGAAATTTTATTAAGTCTAGTATGATCAGTACATAAGTTATGGAATATTGAATTTGTGATGAAAACACCAACTATTCTAATTTATTCATGCCATTCCAAGAAGAAAACAATAGCTACCTAGTTTCATTTGATGTGCACTAAAAAGGTGTACTATGGAAAAATGTATAATCTATGTCATCGAAGCCAATGATAATTTCACTTGGTTCAATTGTTTTTATGAATAATCATTTAAAGATCCCCATCATATTAAAAGACCAATATTTGAACAAACCGCTGAGCCCGACGTGATTCGAATACGCAGCCTTCTGATCTGGAGTCAGACGCGCTAGCGTTGAGCCACGAGCTCGCAAATATTAGTCTTTTATGAATAACTTTAATTGAAACTATCTATCATGTGTTGTTAAAAATTTTAATTAGAAGAAAAAAATGTCGAAGACCGTCTATGCAATGTTTAATGTGAAACTTTTCAGAATGAAATTCACCATGATACATGATACAAACACCACAGCATATAACGTGTAAACTTGTTTCGGTTAAGAATATATACTAGTAAAATTTTGACATTATTAATTTTATTTAATTAATAATCCTTTATTTATATACTCTTATTTTGAGCGAGATGAATTTACCTTAAACTTAACTATTCTTTTATATCAGAAGGGGTTTTGTGGAGATTTTAGTAATTTTATAGAGTTGAGATCCTGAGTCAATTGAAGCTAGACCACCATGGAAAATCTGGAAGCACTGAACGGCCGTTTCGTCCTATTATGGGACTCCTCAGCAGTGCGCATCCACGATCCCGCACTTGCAAGATTCGAACCCAGGACCTACTAGTCTCGAGCCAGAGCCCTTAACCGATAGACCACTGAGCTGGCATCCAACGGTGTTAATGTCTAACTTCAACTGATCTACGAAACTGAGCAACCATTTACCAATGCCATCAGTGAGGGGGGGGGTGGAGATTTTAGTAATTTTTTGTTTATTTAGTTGAGACTGGTAGGTCCTGGGTTCGAATCTCACGAGGCAGGATCGTGGATGCACACTGTTGAGGAGTCCCACAATAAGATGAAACGGCCGTCCAGTGTTTCCAGATTTTCCATGATGGTCTAACTCATGATCTCAACTATATTCCCTTATATTATTAATCTGGATTTATAACTGTGTAGAACTTATTAAGAATTTATAAAGAAATAAAAGATATATATATATATATATCCTTTGTTCACATACATCTGTTTCATAAATAAAGAAAAAAAGAGAAAAAACCAAGAGAGAAAGAAAGAAAATAAACAAATATTGAAGTATTAACAAAGTAAAAAAAAAATAAAAGATCAGTCATTTGTTAATTTAGTTACTTCTTATTTACATACAAAAAGAAACTATAAAATTTATTATTTTTCAATATTCTCATAAACCTTTTTTTGTATTTTTTTAAAATCATAATTTATATCCCTACCACTAAAGAGTTCATCATCACTGCATAAATTAGTAATAAAAAAAAGAGGTCGACTAAGCAATAATTCAAATTTAATCTCTACCATTAAAGTCTGGATTGATTAAACTGATAAGATGTAGATTTGATATTTATGCGCCTTTATTTATTTAATTATTGAAGGCCATATATACATATGTTTTATGATAGTTTTTCAAAAAAGGAAACATTTAGTAGGAAATTTGACAATAGATTGAAGCACACAAAAAATACAAATATAATATGAACATGAATTATGCTGATTTCACAAAAATACACACACACACACATTTATATACATATATGTATATAGATGTATATATATACATTGACATAGAATTAGAAAGAGAGTGAACATTGACCAATCCAATTACAGTTAGTTACTGAATAGCGTTAACCACACTTACTAAGGAGGTCACAATTTACAACCACCCTTTAATTTAGATTGAATCATACATGTAAACAACATATCATAGACATGTATATATGTATTTTGTAGAACAAAAAGATAAACGAACAGGCTAACATTTATCATTGTTTATAACATTAAAAATTTTGTTTCATTCGTCTATATACCCTTTGTTAGTGAATTATGATTTATGAGCTTATATTAAAACTTGGCATAAAACGATAGGAAATTCTGTCAGCATTCAAACTCAAGTCAGACTATTAGTTAATTTTTCTTTTCTTGTTTTCTCTCACTCCTGTTTTATCTAACATTGTACATATTAAAAAAAAGATTGCGGTAATTTTGAGCGGTTTATTTACGTTCCAAAAAAATAATCAATATTCTTGGATTATTACAGATAAAACGAAATAACCTGGACATCTAAAAATGATCAGTACAGTGGAATAATAACTTTGTACAATGAACACCAACCTTATTGTGGCATATTGTTAAAATTAAACTAGCTTTTTGGTCAAAGCACAAACCATAACTATAACTGTGGATATGTTTTATTTAATGATTATATTTATTATTTGTGAATGATACGAATAAGAATGTCTGTTTGGTTAAATATTCTACTATTTCTATGTTTGTTTACTCTTAGTTCACAACTGAGGGAATTACTTATCACAGATATACCAGATGATAATCTTCAACCAGACAGTTTATCACAATCTCCAGAGAATAATAATATTAAACAGAAACATGATGCTATTGTTGGTGATTCAACATTTGTAAATGGATTAGATAAAAATAATCACAACACTGAAGTATATCATCGTCAGACAAATTCTGACTTACGTTTTGTAGAAGCAACAAAATCACAAAGTTTAAATTATCCACAAACAAACAGAAATTATATGAATCCAGATTTAAACACAGATAATTATAATCATCAACGATTAAATCAAACTCAGTTAGAACAAACAATTCAAGATATGAACAATAATAATGACAATATGATGACAACAGAAACATTTGTCGGTCCAGATGGAAAATTACAAATGAGTATATGTGATCATCCGAATGGATTTTTAAGAAGACAAAAAAAATTATGCCGTCAGTATTTGCATTTAATGGAAAGTGTGATACGTGGTTATTTTATGGGTTTAAAAGAATGTGAATATCAATTTTCCGCACACCGATGGAATTGTCAAGGTCATAATTTAACTGTTCAAACACCACCGAATAGTCGAAAACAGAAACGTCTAAGATATAGAGAATCCGAACCGAAGAATGATGTGGATAATTCACAAAGAAAATCTGTACGTATACAAACATACTTAGATAAACTATTATCAAAAGGTAATGTTAATTATATCAACCTTTTCTTATAAACAAATGTTGTTTGGATATGTTGAGATGTAAATCAATGTAATAATATTCTATCTTGTGAATCAGTGACGAAATGATGTAGGTACTTGGTTCTCAGTTAATAGTTAATGAGTTCAACTCCTCTGCATTACAACATGCGTAGGTCATTGCCTCATAAATATTTCTGTATTTGGCTTTTATGTTTGACTCATTTGAATAAATAACTGGATGTTATTCCTGATTATGAGTGAACAGATTTTTATCCACCTAGTGGCATTAATTAAAATCACTAATAAAAATGGTAATCAACAATAGAAAATTACTTTACTCAAAGACTCCTTTTGTTAAAATTCAATCTGAAATGAGTTATTGTGGATCTATAAAGACAGATATTTAATTTTAAACAAATGTTCAGTAACTTATTATTTCTCTGGGTTTTCAGTTCATTTCAACTATAATTTTCATAAATTCCTCTTGCTAGATAAAAAACTAATTATAATTAGTGAAAACGTAATATTCGTAGGGTTTTGCGATGACAGAGCAGATTTGCAGCTCGATCAGAGAATTTTCTTGGTGTTGCGTTATCTGAAAACTGTTAACTATCAAGAATTCATTATCTTTATAAATAACTTCATCTGTCTAAACTTCGAATAGTAGTGAGCTATTTACAATTTTTAATAAGTGAATTACAGTTTGTCATGTCGATAACACAGATCGGAATGAATACTGTGGTTTCGATTATATTTTTTGAAAAAAAACCTGTAAGTTCAAAAGTCCAACAGATTTGTATACAAACAGGGTAAAATCCTCAATCATTATTTGCTCCAAGTCATTTGATTTACTCCCATTTTGTGTAGTGTAAGTCCGCTGAAGTTAGAGAAAATTTCATACCTAACTAATATGGCAGTTTTAACTATAGAGGAATATACTTCATGAATACTAACAACATTATTGTCAATAATAAACAATGCATTTTGTCTCACGTCTTCAGTTTTCATACGAATTTTAATCATACTTCCCGAACAAATGGTGCTAGTGATGACGATTTTTGCTATAAACTGATACCAGCTAGCGAAGCGGTGGAAGCTAGGAAGGATCGGATAGCTATTTCCTATGTACAGGAGATTCTTGCCTGTGCAAAGAGATGAATCAACTTAGAATGGACCCTAAAAACAATAAATTGCAACAAGATCATGATACTTTTAGGTCAGTGAGTCGGCATATACTGAACCAAGTTTACAACTTTAATTGTGTTGCAAGATGATATAACGATTATTGGTTTATGAAGTAGCTGTGAAAAGTCACGACAGATGAATTCAACTGAGTCACAAGTGAAACAATTATTTACCAAAAATGGGATAAGAATCACGTTTTATAGGAAACTAATCAAAGTTGAAAATCTATGTCGTTAGATATCGATTAGGCGGTTCAAGAATGTTCTTAGGACTTCAATCTCATATGTGATTATCCCAAACTAAAACTAAATAATCGTTCAGACATCTGTGTTTTTCGCTGCTTGACAAAAACTTTCTCGATAATTAATTAATTAGAACAAATTTCTTTACTTAATATAAGTTAATTTACAGTTATTTACGTTCATTAGTGTAATACTATTTTCGCGGTTTAAGTGAAATGATTAGTTGAAAGCTATTCTTGAAATTGCATGTTGGCTAATTTAGTTCAAATAATCCAGACACTGACTGAGAGTTTCGTTTTCTTTAGAGCAGAAGTTAAAATCAATGTCCAACTTGAAGTGTCTAAAATAGCGCCATACTAGATAAACACTTACTTAACTAGTTGTCATTATTGATATGTGCGATTTATAACTACTTAAAACCCCTACCAACTGTATGAAATTAAACGTACCATATATTATTTGAAATCTTTACGAACAAAGATTAACTGCATTGAGTTTAGGCCTAAGATATAGTCAGACTCTCTGTAATGAGTTTTCGATGGCATATTGGAAGATAAATCAAATAATTCAACATAGAACTGTTTATGTGTTAAACACCAGTTTATTTACATCACAGCTTACATTTTTTTAATCTCAAACAGAACAATTTGCTATCCACAACTTGTCCTCAAGTAAAATAAAGTTAGTGTTTCATTCGCATTAGCCAGTATATAGTTTTCATCATATACATTAAACAAATATCATTTCATTAATGACTCTGGATTTTAACGCAGAAGGACTGTTCTTACTTTGATGATACATATAGACAAATTATTATGATAAATATTATTTATGAAAAAACTGAAAATTATTCTAAATAAATATAAAATCCTATTGCTTGCTCATTCAAAGACGGAGGCAAACTTACTGCTTTTTTTCAGCAATAGAAATAATCAAACTACACTATTTGGTAACTTGGTAATAACCAAAATCCTGTTGTCTAGTCCTTAGTGTCAATCGATTGTATAGATCGAATTATCATTAGTTTAATTAAACCAACACAATGGTACATTCTGCAAGCAATCGAATTCATGATGTATGATTCACTGTATTTATAACTCATCAGTTGAATACACCTGGGTTTCAATGTTGATGTCTACGCTGAGACTCAAACTCGACTCTCGACGTTGTATATTGAAGTTGGATATAAATAAACAATAATTTACAATAAGGAGTAATAGCGGAATCCCTGATTTTATAGACCTCTGTTCCTGTATACCAATAAAGTATTGAGGGAATATATATTGACACCAGTAGATTTTAACTCATATTTTCCTATAAAAATAATTAAATCAAATAGTTTATTATAGTCGTGTTGTCTGAATGGACAGAACACTAAATTACCACAGTATTAAGCCAGATTAAGGGAACTTGCAAAAATTTAGGAATGAAACACGAAAGAAGTTACTTGCAAAATAATAAGTTTTATCATGGCTTAATTTATAGAAATAATTAAATTTTATAACCTATATCAGTACAATTAATCATTTAAAGAACCTCATATATGATTCTTCTTAGCATCTGATTGATACATTCATCAAGCTAAGGAAAAATACCAAAATATTTATTACATCCAGAACAATGCTCTATTAGATGGAAAACAGAAATAAAACATTTCACTAACTTCCGAATATTATATAATGGATACATAAAAAATTTATTTTCTGGGAAAAATAAGGTGAACTTAAATTTAACAGAGTTCATGTCTATTAAAATAACTAATATTTCGGGGTATTCTAATGGGATCTATTGGAGTATCATACATGTTGTAGTCTATCCCATGAAACAGTTACAAATTTGTAGTTTATGGTAAATAACACAATACTATTGACTTTAAATGAACGGATAGTTTGTATTGTATGACTACAAAGTAAGAAAAAGAGGCGATTTAATAGTATTATTATTTGAAAGTATGTAAAATCTGTATAGAATATAATAAACACATCCTAGATAATCTGTATTTTCTTCATGCATGTTTATAGTGAAAGACTTTAGAATAACCTAAAATTTCAAATATAAGACAACTTTCGTATCACCATTAATGGTAGAAATTGAATCAATCCAATAACTAGGTGTCATTACTAACATTTAACTTGATAATTTCATATAAACTGAGTATCTAATGGATTATTTACAACAATAAAAGAATGATCTATTTGTGATATTATAATGTGTAGGATTTCAATTTTCTTCTCATTGGGATATTGCAAATATTTTATTATATCACCTAATAAAATTCACAGGATACAATAAAATTATTGATGAAGCAAAAGTTGACATGATACTCAGAAATCATGCTACATAGTAATAGTATAGTAATAGTTCGAGTTTACGGCGAGACTATAATCTGTGAATGAACCAATTGGATATAAAATAACAGGTCTTGGATTTTGGAGTGAAATCTATTCATCCATTTGGTTAAATAGTGTTTTGGCATTTTAGATGATGTCAGTTCGTGATGAAAACCCTATGTCTAGTCCCTAACGACGACCATCAACTGTAAATCATAATTGTAATTCGTCTCACTACTTTATAACCCTAATTTAATCCTAGTTAATAGGTGAACACTCACTTGGTGACTTTAGCATCATTCATAGGTTGTCCATAAATTATAGTCTCACCAAGTTTACCAGTCTTCTACCTTAAAGGAAAAGAAGTTTGGAACTAAAATTTGAAATATTCAGAAAATGATTTGGAAATACTTTTTGTGACAAGTGATTGTACTCGAAGCTCATATAATTAGCTTCGCACCAGGTTGTAAATGAGGTTATTTTTTATTAGAGAAATCGCATTGAACTTAAAAGAGAGCTCGTTTTTAGATACTTAATCATGTAAAAATACTATTTTTATCTTCTGATATTATTTCAGCTTCTTTTTTCTTTTTCCGTTGTATAAAATTGTAATAACCTTGTCAATGACAAGTTGATATTTGAATAAATTATGATAAGCTTAAGACATCAAATTTAACAGTGAAGAACTGTTTTTGATGAAATAAAAATGGAAGATTCTCAAACTAAGACAAACATTCTGTGTAGAATAATTTTTCAACAATTATCATTTCAGGGGGTTGTTTGTGGAGATTTTTAGTAATTTTTATACATAGTTGAAATGATGAGTCAATTGAAGCTAGACCGCCATGGAAAACCTGGAAGCTGTTTCGTCCTATTGTTATCATTTCATTATGAAAATCTTTTCCAACTAATGAATTACATCAATCAAACACACATTTTAAATAATAAGCAAATTACGTATATTCTGGAAGATTCTCAATATGATGATGATTAAACTTTTTACTTCAATAATAAAACAACAACAGCTCAAACAATTTCATATTTTGTAATTTTAATGTTTAGTAAATAATTTATAAGAACTTTCGTCTAGATTAGAGCGAATAGTTTCACAGTATTTGGACACCGAGTTGATGTAAGACATTAAATATCCTAAATATCCTTTCCTTGAAAAAGCTTGGACCCGATTGCCAGACGAAACGTTGGATTTACTTCAAATTCATTCGCTGAGATTTTACAAATATATT